CTTATCATTCAACTTCTGTCAAATTGAATCCCAAATTAGAAGCTCTCGAATATCCACGAAATGATATCATCTATATTAGAGACATCGGTTCCGGAGCTTTCGGACGAGTCTTTATGGTCTGTATATTATATTGTATTACATTAGCACTCAATTCGTTTCATACATTGCTTATACACTTTTAATTCAATTAAATGCCTTTTTCACATTTAATTATTTATATTTCGGCCCTTTTGTTGTCAGTAATTAAATTGTATAGTAATTGCGTTTAAAGTTATAAAGTTTTTAAGCTAATGAAAAGCAGAAATATTTGCATAAATTAAAAGGCGTTTAGTTTCTATTATATTATAAATAGATTTATTAATTACTATTTAATTTATAGTTTTATATGATAACACTTTATATATTTATTGTATTAATTAAATCAATTGAATGATTGTTTGAATATCAGGCAAAAGCGCCAAATCTGGCGAAAGGCCAAGAGTTGACGTTAATAGCGGTGAAAATGCTGAAAGAAGAGGCCACTGAAGACCTGCAGAGCGACTTTGAACGCGAGGCCTCTATTATGTCAGACTTCGATCACAAGAATATTCTGAAAATATTAGGCGTCTGTGCGGTCGGGAAACCCATGTGTTTGCTCTTTGAATACATGGGAAGAGGAGATCTGAATGAGTTCTTGCGGTCGTGCTCTCCGTCTAATTATATAATCCGAGCGCCAAATAGTGACGCCTATAACGACACTCGTCTGAATCACTTGGATTTGGTGGACATCTCTCGACAGATCGCCGAAGGAATGATATACCTGTCGGACCGTAAGTTTGTTCACAGAGATCTGGCGACGAGAAACTGTTTGGTGAACAACGATATGGTGGTTAAGATCGCCGACTTTGGTCTCTCGCAGCGGATCTATACGTCAAACTATTACAAGGGCTCAGAACACGACGCCATCCCTATTCGATGGATGGCTTTGGAGTGTATATTATATAATAAATTCAGTATTGAGTCCGATGTCTACGCCTATGGGATTGTGTTGTGGGAACTCTTTTCGTTCGCACTTCA